TAATACATTCCAGATGATTCGAATTTAAGACTTAAGAATGGGGAAGTAATGGGACAAAAGGACCAGCATTTATTCTTCCCTTTTTGAAATCTGAGGAAAGAACCTGAAATGTGGGAAATGACCTATTTAAGAAAATTTAAAAACAGCATCGGTTGATTTGTTTACAGTGGGTACCTGTCATATGCATCCTATGATCCCCAACCCAATCCTACAGTGAGGTGCTGAGAGCACCCCCACTCCACAGGTGTCTCAGAGGGGCTCCACAGCTTGCCTGTCTGCTGGATCCAGCTTGGACTTGAACACAGAGTGTGCGGGAGCTTGGATCTGAATGCCGATGGGGCAAATTACACAATTCATGCTCTTAATTATGACGGTCTCCTCAAAAACTGGAAATAACGTTACAATGTCTGACTCAGAACATTATGCAGACATAAAACCATGTTTACAGGCTTTGTGGGGAGGGCTGGAGTGAGAAGCTCGGGATCCGGGTATGGAATATGATCTCAGCTGTGGAAGGAAAGGACAGGAACCAGGGCCTTGGGGCAGCATTTGTCATGGCAACGGACTGGGAGCAGCCCAGTGACCATCAGCAAGAGGAGGCTAATAAAATGTGGAATTTTCATATAATACTAAAGTATTACACGAAATGAATAGATGAAGAGAGCCAGAGGTTTTTCTGTAAAAATGGCCAACTCCCAAAGACATGGCTGTTAAGTAAAACAAAACCAAAAAACAAGCCAAGCAAAAACAAAGTTGCAGAGTGATGTATTATAAACAACCCCGTAAGACAATTTTTTTTCCATGGGCACACACAGCTAAGCTATGGTACAGCAAAGGGCCCGGAGGGAGTAACTCAGAGGTGACCGAGGGGCAGGAGAGGCTCATGGTATTGATGACAGAAGCCTCTAAGATGGGAGTGTGGATTTGCCCCACTGCTCTTCCATATTTTTTAAGTGTTAATTTTTTTCGATGAGAAATTATTTCTTTTAATCGGAAAAAAAGATGGCAAAAACTAGGAGAACGCTTCTCAATGTGGTTGGGAGAGTAGAAGAGACACACGTATGAAAGCATCCAGGGTGGTGGTGCTTGGTGCTGAAGGGACATCTTGTTTTCTATATAACGTGTCTGCTGGTGGACAAAGATCAGAGGTCATGTACAAACGAAAGGAATGGATTGTGGGGGCAGCAGAAGAAGTACGAAAAGCAACAAAAGTCAAGTTAAGATAGGAAGGGGAAGAACACAGCAAATGGCTAAATGGAATTCCGTTTTATTCCTGCAAACACCACTGGGAAGAAGTCATCTGTGACGCACAGCTTCTGTGCCAGGTGTAAGGACGTGCTTAATGAATGCCATTTAATGAAGAAAAAGGCTCTTATAAAACACCTGGCACAAGCAGGGTGCGGGAGTCACAGGGAAGGGGACCTTTGCTGCACCTGCTGGCATTTTAATAAGCACCTTCTAGAGTGCCCGCTCTCCAAGGCTGGTCAACGGTGTCAGAAAGAGGTCCCTGACCATTGCCCATACTTGCTGACAGTTTGGGGAACCTTATTTCTTAAAGACCATATGCTCAGGTATCGGATCGCCCTGGAAGGTAATTAAAATGAATCATTTTCAGCTGGAAGGGCCCGACTAACACTCGAATCCTCCTCAATGACTTCACAGCCAGGATTCCTGCTCCAAGTCCCCTGTGTTTCCCAAGTGAGGCTCTGAATTACGATTGAGATCGGTGAAGACCCAGAGATGTGAGGAGATACTGTAATTCTTTCTCGTAACTTGGTTCCACTAAAACAGAAAGTCAGTTATTTTAATCACGCTAGGCTCTAAAATATTTTCAGTGGTGGTGATTTTTCTTTTCATATTGATTTTGGAGCCAACCTCAGACAGAAACCACCATGCCCCAAGTTTACTATCATTTCTCACAGTCTGATGAGTCGCTTTTTTGTTTTGTTTTGTAATTGACACCAGCCAAGACAAGTAAGGTTTTGTAAAGCTTAAAACAGACCTATTTCCTCTACAGTTATATTCACTATCTTATAAACCTTCTATGCCTAGACCTAAAACTTAATTCCAAATATTACCCAAGGAACACAACCCCTTACCAGGGGAGATGGACCGGTATCAATAAGCATACAAGGTCGCTATAATTAGGATGTGGCGACTGACTCAGTTCACTTTTTTTATTGTGCTCCTACTGTGTGCTAGGCACTGCCTGGCACCGAGACAGTTTAAGAAACCAAATGAAACTTGTATCTTCCCCTTTAGGAATTTATCTGTAAGTCAACTGAAACACAAACATAAATCTCCTATATCACAAAGTAAAAAGCTCTGAATATCAAAAGATAGGCCATAAAGGACAATACGGTTATAGGCCTGAATTTTAAAACAGTGGCATGAAAAAGAAATAACCAAAACAACAAACATCTGTTGAGAGTCTACTACAGGCCAGGCACCCCGTTAGGCCCTGGGAGGTATCTAGAGACATGGGAGCCATGGTCCCACCTGCGAAAAGGAAAGACTGTGGTTGGAGAGAAAAGGCCTGAGCAATGAAATAGTAATTCCAGAGTCTAGACAGTGGCCCAAGAGATGTCACAAAGCCAAGGATGGGCAACGGAGGCTCTGGGAGTCAGAGAGGCAGGAAATGGGATTTGACTTGCATGGCTGGGAGTGGCTTTCCAGCGAGGCCGGCGTGAAGGCTTTTCTCCTGGAATTTTCACTCCTGTAATTATTTAGGACTATGGCAGTTACCACTCACAGGGCACTTGCACTGTTCCTCATGCTTCATACGCATCTCTAATCTAAACAACCCAGCAAGGGAAGTAGTACCCTAGACATGGGGGAAAAGCGGTTCAGAGAGGTTAAGTAACTCACCCAAAGTCACACAGCTGAAGAAAATGGCTGGGCTAGGATGTGCATTAATGCTCTTTCCACCATGCTATGTTGTTGCTTTACCGAGATGACACGGGGCCTGAAGTAAGTGCAAACACAGACCTGTTCATTTTTCATTCAGGAAGCCCATTTGCCATGATCAATATAACTCCAACCTATCAGCCTGACTGTAGAATGGGTTTTCCTCATGGGCAACATACACACGCGCGCGTGCACACACACACACACACACACACAACCAAATCACTCGGCATTGGACAAGCGGGAAAAAAGCTGCCACTGAAGACGAAGGAAATCACAATTCCAAACTCCCCGAGTTCCTAAATGCATAAAGTACATGCAGCTTGATGGCATATGGCAAATCAATTACTAGTTTAAATCTTAAAACGAAAACATGGCAAGTGTGGTGCAGAAATAATCAAGCACAACGGTTAGGTTTAGATTACAGTGGGCCACTAGAGTTTTGAATACAATTAATCATCATTCCAGGCAATGGGAAGCCATATTGACACTTATTCCTAATTTGAATATTTAATTAGGGTGAAGTTCTTCATCAAATTATCGCAGAACTGGGAGAAAGCCTGGAAGACTTACACAATTACTATCTTAACCCCTTCCCAGCTGCTCACCTGTGAGCACAGCCGTTCTAGTCCCAGCTCCGCAGGGGAGGATGCCTACCCCCAGTCTCTGATGCGAGCCGGTGCTGGTGACTGGAGTTGCAACTGTAGCAGGCAGGAGCCACGTGGTGGCAAAGGAAAGGTCTAAGGGGATGCCCTGCTCATGCTAGGCTAAGTTCTGCACTGAACCCTGGACACAGACAGAAAGCCAGCATGCACGGGTGCTCACTGGGCACCAGGGTGGTGCTTTCTGTGTCCCCCCATTTAATTCTCATGACAAATCCTGCAAAGGAGGCATTTTTATCCCCATTTCACAGAGGAAGAAATAGGCTCAGAGAGTGATAAAACTCACTCAAAGTAGCACTGCCTGTGAGTGGTATAAAGAAGGCCCAAAGGACTCATCAAACACACACACACACACACACACACACACAGAGTTACTCACCAAAAGTGATGACAAAGAGAACACGCAAGGCCCACAAAAATGTTTTCAAGGCTGTATTTTGGATCATCTGCACTGTGTGGCTAAATCAGAGGAAAACCAAAACCCAGGCCTCCTCAACCAGCATTCTAAAATCTAACTCTTGTTCAAAATGCATCACTGAGCACCCCCAATGGAAGTCATGATGCCTCTGTGGCCGGGGGCTCAGCAGAATGACGGAGGTGGGGGCAGCAAAGCTCAAGGAACAGTCCCACGAGGCTGACTTGAGGCAAGGTGACAAGGTGGCCATCCAAACCCTGCAGAGTGGGACTCGAGAAAGTGGGCGCTGCAGGACAGGTGTCCTCGGGGAGGGGAAAGTCCGCAACAGGACAAGAAAATGTGAACTCTCTTCTTTCAAGATGGCCAAGGCTCAATGACAGCATTTAGAACTGTCATTATATTATATGTCAGCTTGGATATTTCGTTAATGTACACCTTTGCTATCTGAAAAGACTTTTACTAATATTTCATAGATACCATGTGATTCTGCGTGACCAAAACCAACATATTTTCCCACACAATCTCCCCGAAGGGCCCAGGACAGGGCCAAGGGCTGAGTGCACACATGGGACTGGACCACGGTAGGTCCAGAGACCTTTCTGCTTCCAGCCTCCACCTAGAAGCCGAGAAGGAGGAACATCCTGATAGTTTCAGGTTAGCCATTTCTCCTTAAAAGCCTGTGATGGGTTCACTGACCCTCCTGTGGAAAAGGCTCCATTTGCAGTGGCCACTTTCAGCAGGAAGTGGATCGCCAGGCAGAAGGAGGGAGCCGCCCCCAGCCCCCTGCCTGGGCCCAATGCAGGCACAGACCCCGGATCCGGATCCATCAGGCCCGCCCTGGCTCATTCGTGGGGGGAGTGAATGGCGTCGGGAACTTTGAAACTTTCCTTTGTATATTATATTAATCCATATAAGAAAATCTCTTTTAATGAGGAGTGATGTAGTTACCAACTCTCCAGAGCCATAATTAGAGCAAACTAATTGAAGTTGTGTTTTGACACACTTTCCAAATTCACGGGTGCCGGATGACATATTCACAACACTGCTGCCGCACAACCATGGCGACGGCAAAATCATTAGGCTAATAACGCTTATTTGCATTCTTATCATGCCAGCAGCTCGCCTTTAAATACTGTTTCCACTACTGCTCCTTTACTGTAAGTTTCCACCGAAAGATATTAACAGTAATTATTAGTACTTTAGTGGAATTTTAATGTTAAAGAATAACAATGCGCATTAACATACATTGAATGGCAATTCTTTTTCTTCACCACCCCTCGGAAGGTTTGGGGGTTCTTCCTTGGCCCTCACCCCAGAGCTCAAGGGTAACCATATGCGATTTCAGCTTCATTTACAACTCAGGGTCCACACCCAGTGGGATCTGAAGTCGGGGTTTCCGAACTATTCTGCTCCAAAAGTTTGACGAGAAAAATCTTTCTTTCTTTTTTTGAAGTACAATAAAATGAAATAGTTAAGGAGAAATTTTTTCCAAGCAGCTAAAAAAAAATCTCAATTTACAACACGGTCTTTGGTAATAACACTAATGAATTCCAGGAGGACATGCTGTAGCCATTCCCTGTCGCCCCCCTCGCGGTGATTAAAGGCAGACGGGGAAGAACTGGGTTGTGAGGGCGTCGGTGGGGGTGGGGGTGGGGTAGTCTCGATCTGTCAATGTGGGGCACTGCTTGCCACCAACGAGGCCAATTTTGGGGATGCTTAACTCAGACACACACAGAGAGGAAGACTCGACAGTTCTAAATAATGGTTATTAATGACGCCCTCCTCTACGGTGACAAATTACTTCTGAAATTTAGAATTGAAGAAGTATGAAGAGTGAACATGTCCTATTGAACGTGACGGGAAATGCCGGCCAGAACACAGAGCTCCCACTCATTGTGCACTGGGAGAAGGGCAGGGTCCCTCCTGCTTTGGGCTTTTGGCTGTCGTACGGGGCAGTGACCACAGCTACCTCTCCCTGACGTGTCTCCCAACAGTTACTGTTGGTGACTATGGGCACATCCTCGCTGTAAAAATGCTTTTTGGGTGACAGGCATAAAACATTAGGTGTGTTGCACCAATAATCGAGACCTAGTCCCAACTTGGGGTTGGGCTAGATATTTGCTCAGATCCTAGGTGTCTGTAAATATCTTGGGGTCAAGCAAAACCACCACTACCATCGCTGACCACTGATAACCCAAGAGAAAATGTCCTAACTAAAAAGATACACTTGTGTTGAATTTCAAACTATTCAAGTGTACATTTCAGGATGAATGCTTCATCTCAGCCTAGGAAGATTTAAATGAGTGAAGAAAATGCTTCCGCAGAAAAATGTCAAAGACTATACTCTTTTAAAGCATGGGAGTTTTCAGTTTCTTAAGTTACAATCCTTGTACCAATCTGCTATTTTTCAAGTCACTGATTACTTAATAAAAAAAAAAAAAAAGACGAAGAAAGGAAACTAACTTTCATAGCCACAGCAACACTCCAAATCATGGTATTTATTCACTACATTTAAGTTTTATTACACTTGAACCTTGCAATGCCAAAACACCTACCTCCCATATAAAAGAAATGAAGAAAAAAGCTAAGTCTGGGACCAGGGGCACCACACTTCCATTCCAGATGATCTAGTCTAATCTTATAAACTGAAATATTTAAAGAGTCTCTAAACCTCGCTGACCTTACTTTTAAAAACAAGGAACATATGGGCACTGCTAGCTTTTCATCTTCTTCCAGCCTACTAAAATATCCGCTTTTTGAAAATTCAAGAGTCAGGGGACTGCCAAAGTCAGATTCATAAAGGGCTGTGTGCGTGAGAGCGCAGGACAAGCTGCAGTCTGGACCGAATGCAGCACATCCTCTATCAAAGAGCCAAAGGCAACATTTGTCTCCTCCCTGCCCAATCCATCTCAAAAGCTGTGGAAAACAATTTGTTTAGCAAAATACAGCCATGACTGAGGAGGAGGTGGAATGTGGGGCTACAGGCCGGATGGTGATTTCTGGTCCCACGCAAGGTTGAGCTCACAAGCAGAGGGTCAGCGTTCAATCAGGAAGCCCTGAGGCTCCTTGAAGGCAGGCAGGGCGTTATGGTGAGACCTCTCCTCTGCTCACAACCCCTCTAAATCCTAACTCCCTGCCCTCGGATGAGTCATGATCTCTCCAAGTTTCAGTCTTCTCAACACTCCAGCCTGGGTGACAGAGCAAGATTTCGTCTCAAAAAAAAAAAAAAAAAAGACCCACAAAACCAAAACAAAATAAAATGAGGACACAATTATTCACCTCATAACATGGTTATAAAGATTAAAACTATGTATCTATCCATCTGTGTG